CTGCGCCCATTTCGGTTGCGCAGACACGAATACATAGACACACACACACACCGGCCACACGGCGCTATCAGCAACAAGTTAGTTACGTGCGCTGAGAAGGAGTGGGCAGGTAACCCGTAAGGCAGGACGTCGTGTTCAGCTCACATCAGAAGTGAATCAGTTTTGAAGACTGGCAATCATCTTGGCGTCTTAACCCTGAGCATTCGAAAGCATGCAACTTTAAAAGTAAAACGCCTCTCATGGGAAATTGTCCGAGCTTAATATTTTAAACTGTCCACACGGCAGTAAGACCGTCGTTGTCGAAACTGTTTACCGTGTGCTCCATAGCAGGGCGAGAGGTGGGACGGTGATTTGCGCGTGATTTAGTGCAGAGTGATAGTGGGCTTGCGCTACATCTACCGCACTCTTTCTTCTTCCTCCGACTCAGCCCGGTGTTAGGAGGTAGTCAGGGCGAGAAAGGACGCAGGCGGCTGGTACGGTCGAACCTGCATCTAGGCGTACCGCCGCACCCCCTGGACCAAAACAAACAAGCACTTGGTCAGGATTTCAAAGTTGACAACAAACAACGTGTGAGAAATAGGAGCATGACTGGACAACCATGCACACGACCTCTGTACCCAGCGGAAGCGCAAACGCATCCACCGTCAGGGAATTAGGTGCCGGGGAATTTCCCACGTACACCAGGCTGCGAGGGCCATGGTTTGCTGAAGCGTGGTATAGCGATGCTTACTTTCCTTGAGATCCAGAAGGATGATACGACGTCCTGCATTTGCCTGGGGCAACAAGTAATAGTTCGACCGTAATTGTCGACCGTGTCCACCGTGTGCTCCACAGCAAGGCGAAACAGGGACGGTGACTTGCGAATGAATTAGTTTATAGCGATGGCAGACTTGCGGAGAATCTGCCACACTCTCTTCTCCTCCTCACCTGGACCCGGTGTCAGGACAGAGTCAAGAAAAGCTGGGGGGGGGGGCGGGGGAGGGCGCAGGTGGATGGCGCGTCTTTAAGCATTCTCTTTTTGAAACATGTTTGAAGGATATTGAAGATGAGTCGAATGCAATTCATACTGCATAAGCAGTCGTTTATATAGTTTGCTTCATGCAAGTGGCCAAAAAGAGGCACATTAAAAACCAGCATCCTGGCATGACTGATCGAAATGATCCTCTATGATCGAATGTATATTTCAGAATCTCGTGAAATACGCGACCTAGCATAGCGGTAAGACGCAGAGGTTTCGCTAGTGAAAAGTGGCCTACAGGAAGTAAGTATGCCAGCAGCAGCGTTTCGCTAACGGGGCCGGTTGAGAACAGCAGCCGCGACAAATGACATATATGGGGCATCGACGCAGTCCAGTCCCGGCGGTGTCTCGTAGCTCAGATGGTTAGAGCGTTAGATTTATTAAAGCCCTGCCCTTGGTGTCGTGGGTTCGACTCCCACCAAGGTAGCCGAGTTTCTCACGACAAGGTCAAACGAAAGTAAACAGCCAATTGGCGAGCGAGTAAAGAAGTTGGAAGAAGAATAAAAACCAGGCAACGTAGGATTGCTGGCTCAGTTCGACGAGATATGCGCTACAGCTGTTATGGATTCCCCCCGACTGGGGCTCCGAGCAAGCATGGCGCTTGTCGGCCATACAGGACGTTGATGCTTGAATTTTTTAAACAACGGATATACTACTGATACAATGCAGTTGCCTTTCTTTGAGGAGCGCAAATAATCGGATGCTGTAGACAGGGGGCCATCACTGTCCCACTAGTCCGACAGATCCTGCGTCGAGCAGGCAGTCACACGGAGATGAGTCATGAAACAGCAGTGGTGTCTAAGACAGAATACCAATAGCTATATCCCCGATCTCAGTGAGATAGTGAAGCACTTTGACAGAAGTGTGTTCTGGAGGGTTGGATGGACTCATGGTTTACCGACAAACCTCCTGAACTGATTTGAAACATGCCATCAGAGTAGGTGGACTAACTCATGAAATGTCAACAGAAATTCCGAAACGCCTTTTCGATTCGAAAAAGATTAACTAAGTAGAGTCATAAAACTAATCATTATGCAGCATAATTCCATAATAATTCAGTTACCTCAGGATGCCGGCTTTCGAACGAACTTCTTTCCGGCTGCGTACAAAAACTATACTCTGTAAAAAATGACTACCCAAATGCCACGCATTTTTCTTATTGATTTTCGGTGCCCTTAAATATTCAATTATATTTCGTGCTAAACATGCGCAAAAATATCCATTCTTTTGCTCATTCCGTAGAAAATTACGTCTTCTTCCAACTTTATACTCGAAGAAAGTGTATAATTCGGTTTTAAGAAAGCTTCTAATTGTGAGATTCTTTAATACAGTGATATGGACGTTCATAAAACGTCATGTTTCTGAATTTACCAATGTGGCTTTTAAAGTTAACAATATGGCTCAAATCCACTGCCAAATTTTACGAACCTCATATGGTCTTCTCTTTATACCGCAGAAAAATGTGCGGTTTTCCGTACGCGGAAAATAGATGGTTTGTAGTTTGGAAACCCTGAATGAAAGTGTAAGTGCAGGTAGGGTTCAAACTTATTCAGGGATTGGAACAGTCTTTGAAAACCGAATTATACCCTTTCTTCGAGCATAAAATTGGAACGATGCATGATTTTCTACAGAATGAGCAAAAGAATAAATATTTTATGCATATTTTCCGTGAAATATAATTGAATTATTAAAGGCATCGAAAATCAATGAGAAAAATGCGTGTCACTTAAGTAGTCATTTTTTACAGAGTATAGATTTTGCATGCAGCCAAAAAAAGTTCTTTCGAAAGCCGGCATCCTGGGGTAACTGAATTATTATAGAATTATGCCGCATGACGATTAGTCTTACTACTTAGTTAATCTTTTTCGAATCGAAAACGCATTTCGGAATTTCTGTTGACGTTTCATGAGTAAGCGCACCCACCGTAGTTCCGGCGAACAGACCTTTAAGTAGGCGTAAACTGAGGACAATGAGGACATTGTAGTCATGCATAACATCCTACAAGACCGTCTGTCCAGCATTTCTGGAATCCGTGATGAGCCTGGTTGGTGGCATATCACGTCACAAACAAGGAAGTCTACAAACAGTGGGACCTCCTGGTCTCTGCGCTTGAATAAACCGACGGAGCTGTCCTGCTTTAAAGCTCCTATCAGTGTGGGTGCGGATCGTGATTCCAGTGAACGTATCCCCATTCCTGGGAGGAACTCGTGACCTTGCCTATATCTCAGTTTTTGATCTCGCTAAATTCGCCTCCAACTATTGAGAAAATTGGACGATAAATTTCACTGCCCAGTACAACTGAAATGGACCAAACCGGACACAGTTGAAGTACGTGCATGTGCTCTGTTTTGTCTGAATCTATACCGCATTGTTGTCGCCTTTGAAAAGGTGATGTACCGCAGATTCCCACGTTTCCTGGGAAGTACAATTATATTGAAACCATTTGTGTCGATAAGGTTGTGTAGAACCATTTTAAAATGCGCTGTGATAGCCGGAGACCACAGGTTCCACCAGAGTACTCCACAGCAGACGGCCGGTGATTCAAATGCAGTCCTACCTTTCAAATACCAACCGTACCTCACCACTGCTCACAGAAGGGGAACCTCGTTAATATACTTAAACAGATCCCTGGCGCAGCATTTAAAGAAGTTTCTGAAGGCCACTTGTGTATATAATTTGAAGCTTCCGCAACATTTTTAAAATACGGAACTACATCTGAACAGACGAGTTTGTGTCTAACTGATTTCTACGTGAATCACACTACCAGTACGCAAGACATGTCAATCTGTCAATGGAACAACCAGGGGCAATGGCAGTCCAAGAAACGCTCCTAGTCATCGTTCGGAAACCGCTCTGCTAGTGACGTCTTGTGGCATCTTTCCTAAGGAAAGCTCCTGTAAACTAATTTAAAACTTGTTTTTTTAAATGGCCGCGGCGCTCACAGCCTTTCTCTCCTGACTGTGGTTATACTCCTCCTGAATGGTATATTTACTCTGTTTGAAGAATGCGTACTGGGCTGTGTACTCTATCGTGCCCTTTGTCTCAGTAGCTGAAGGCGCATTTAGCGGAATCAGAAACTGGTGCGCAGTCATAGTCACGGGTTCCTCCTAGGAAGGGGGATATGTTCACTGGCATCACGGTTCGGAACCATACAGGTTCTTGAAAAAAGTGCCAACGGCTTTGTTGAGCCACACTAGATGTAAGGAAAGCAATGTACGTTACAAAGCCCTGTTAGGGTTGTGACGAATGCTATCGAACTACCACTAGTCCCAAAGTTAAGGTAATTTCTTTCCACCGGATTCTTGGTCCGTGGCAGCACGAAACGTCATGACATGATAAATGTACGACTGGCGCTTAGGCGATTCGACTGCGAAGTGGGACCTCGGGGCGCGCAACGCGATACGAAAAATGCCTTCGCCGCCACCGCCTAGCCCAGAGCGCCCACTTTAGTACCGTGGCCGTTACATGCCCGCGTGACACACGCGCACAGGCCTTGCGCCAGTCGCTCTCAGCGGTTGGAAGACGCGCGTCGACTTCGATCAATAGCTCAACAACACGCCTGTCCGCCTCACGCAACGCACTGCTTCGCCCGTTGCAGCTAACAAGCCTGCTCTTTCATCTCATTGGTTAAGGATATTCGCGTGCGCTGCCATTGGCTAAGTAGGCTTCCAGTCATCGCATGGTTTTGGGGAATTACGTCTCTACAACAGGCTTGTTAAACGCGCCGGCAAAGTGAGGGCATCGTGGGCGCCTCTCGCTGACATGCTTGGTTGGCGACTATTTCCCCTTATATCGTGAGTGGACCTTTACCCCTGCATAATCTTAAAAGCTGACAATGGCTGGTCTACCAGGAAGCTCCTTCGGTTGTGCGTCTAATGAGCCACTGAGCCCCGAAGAAACGGCACTGCAGAATGAAATAACCAGTCTGAAGGCTAAGCTGGATGCTTCACGCAAAAGCGTAGCCGACACGGATTTTTATTCAATGACCAAAGATGTCGTCGAACTTGGTCGTTTAAAGTGCAAGATCCGCAAGACTTTGCGTGCACATCTAGCCAAGGTTGCCAATGTCAGATGGGCCTCCGACAACCAACTTCTTGTTTCAGCAGGTCAGGACGGGAAGTTGGTCGTTTGGGATACCTACACCGCAAACAAAGTCCGTATGATCTCCCTCAAAACCGCTTGGGTCCTTGGCTGTGCCATGGCACCGAGCACCCACTTTGTTGTCAGTGGTGGCCTCGACAACCTTATCACTGTATTCAGCCTGAAAACGCCCGAAGGTTCTCCGGCTACTATGGTGCGTGAACTAGCTGGTCACAATGGATATATCTCAAGTCTGGATTATATCGATGAAAATCACTTACTGAGCGCATCCGGTGACAAAACCATTGGATTGTGGGATATGGAAACCATGAAACTCGTTGCCACATACCAAGGACATACCAATGACGTAAATGCTGTCCGTCACTGCAAAGTTGACAAAAACATTGCTGTTTCTGTTTCCTCTGACTTTACCTGTAGAATATGGGATTTACGACTTCGAAAATGTAGTCAGCTGTTTGAGGGTCATGAGCAAGATGTAAATGGTGTGGATTTCTTCCCTAGCGGTCATGCCTTCGCCACGTCGTCAGATGACTTATCGTGTCGACTTTGGGACATACGGGCAGACCAAGCTGTTGCCGCTTATGTTGATGATTTCATCCAGTGTGGGAGCACTTGTGTTGGTTTCTCTCACTCAGGGAGATTACTAATAGCCGGCTACGATGACTTCAACTGCCACATCTGGGATGTTTTGAGGGAGGAACGTGTGGGCGTCTTGTCGGCACATGATGCTCGTGTCTCCTCCCTTTCCATCAACGATTCGGGCAATGCCATCGCGACCGGTTCCTGGGATTCCCTTTGTTACGTGTGGACTGCAAAATAGTCAGTTTCTTTAGTACCTTTTCTGAATGCGCCTCCGAAGAGTTCAAAACCATCCACCATACCAGTTCCCAAAACCGCGGGTACTCAATGACTCCCAGATTCTGTTCCCCCTTCTGCTTCCGGCTGAAGCATTGGATCATAATAAAGTCAGTGCACCTGTTCAAGAAGATTTCGCATACATTTCGCCGTTGTTCTTGAGACTACTTGAAAATTCTCACGGAAAACTCGGTTCCTCAATAATCTGCGTCGTTTTTTTCTTAAATTTAACCATCTTTTCCCGCTGTGGACCGTCATGTTTCTGGTCCCTAGCCCCTAATAGTCGGCGGCAACCGGGCTGTGATTTGATATGCACGCTATGGAGACCGCGTAGTATCCGCGCTTGGCACGGGTCCATCGTCCACGTTTATGTTGGCCCTAAAACTCCACTCATCGTTTTCGCGGGTACTGCTGCGGTGAGGTTGCTGCGTCTTGATCAGTACGTTTATTCTCTCCAGCTACAGTCTCTGTTGATTTCCCCTGTCTTTCTTTGGAATGTCTGCTCCAGTTCCCCACCCCCATTTTCAATAATAGGTCTCCGATTATTTTCGTTGAGACTACTTTCAATCAACCTGCGCTGTAAATAGCTTATAAAAAGTCGTATTCTACAAAGTAGGTCAAGAGCCGAGGATCTTACGTGGGCAGCAAAGTGCATTTGAGCCAATCGTGGTGCGCCTACAGCCTAGCTGTAATGTCGAACAGTTCCCATGGGTCTCGTCAACTACCTCCGAAAGCGACTGAACATAGACCTGTAAGTCGAGTTCCAACAAAGGAACTCCAGTATGCATTGTCTCCGGTAATGCTAGGTCGTTTATTCTCGTACCGAATGTCGGCTCGCATTTTTTAGTCCCGGAAAACTGAGTATAACGACAATGAAGGTCTCGCGGGAATCTGAACTGTAAGGCCTCGTTGCCATCACGGCTTGTTTGGTGTGACCCGGTAGGCCCAGGGCCATTTCCCGCCTCATCACACACTAGGGAGCTTTCAACCGAGGGCTAGTCGCAGATTAACTCTTGCCACTTCAGAATCTTCGCAATCTACTGAGCAATCTCCCCAAGGTTTTTCTGGCCAGCCTTGTGCCTCGGCGACAGTATTTGTTAATTACAGGTCTTACCGGCTTTCATCACCCACCCACCTCGGTAAGCCTGTCCAAACTTTGTCTCTGGTTGTCTCCGATTTTAGTGTCGAACCCATGCAACGTGTAGTTTTTTCCGCGCGAGTTCGGTTTGAAAACCGACACAAAAGCCCTCGCTGAGGACCCATAAGGACTTCCTCGCTGAATGCGTTCGAATGAATTCTACAGGAGAGAAGTAGCGTTGGGTCCTCCTGCTCCTGCGCTTACTTCCCCTTTTACTCTCAGCCCGGAATTTTCGTCGCAGGAAGGGGTGAGAGACTGATCGGAGGGATGCTTGGTTCACACCGATCTGTCTGTTGCCATATAGCGATGGATCTGCAAACAGCTTCGAGGGCTTGCAGAAACATTGCGGGCAATAACAGTTCTGATCGTAATGTCTTTTTTCATTCGTTCGGTGACAACTTGACACCAAAGTGTGCTCCAAGCCGCCAACCATTAGCACTAAGGACTACTTTCTCCTGATCGAAGATACCCTCGATGTCACATCCGGTTTATGGCACTGTGGATTGGACAAATCAATCAATTTGCCGACCTCGTTCACACGGCGGTATCAGCAGTGTGATCAAGGCCAGTTAGTCGACGTCCTGCTGCAGATTAGATGCTCTCATGACCGCGTACGATACTTCCGAGGGCTCAACTGACGACGTCAAACATCGTGAGCGATAGAATGCGTCTTCATCAAACACCTGATCTGGTGTCCAGCAGTTTTGCGAACAAGAATGCGGCAGTCGTGGAGAAACTTTACACCCTACTCACGGAAATACTCTCTGCCTGCACTTTCTTACCCCCTTGGTTTGCCACAGAGACTAGCGATGATCATTTTCGAAGAAGTTTAGAGTGCAAGCAACCGTCAACTACTGGAGCCATGATGGAACTTGAGGATAATCCGTGGTGTGAACACATCCACGTCCAACTCCGTCTTGGTTGAGTTTTTGCTCAATATTGCGGATACGAAAACTGTCGTAGAATGGCGGTGTACAAGATGTTTGCGGAAATTTTGTTGCCTTGGGCCGCAGAGGTTCTCGCACTACGCCCTGTCCCCATTCTTGAGGACAGCCTGAAGGATATCTGAGACCATCCATCGGGAGTAGACTTTATTCGACGCACCAGTTCTTTTAGTAGGATTCGTCATAAGTGGTTTATTCGGCTCTACAACACTAATGCTTGCTCTCCGAAGCAATCGGCACGGAGACTTCCAAGCGAATTTGAGTCTTTTTGCACGCCTGTCGTGGACTGAAAGGACGCAGATATACAAGAGGTCAACTCTCATTACGTCCACATGCGTTCCCAGTTGGTTATCAGGTTAGCAGGTAGAATGGGGTTCGAGCGGGGGTGGCACCCCGAACGACTCTACTTTCTGGTCGTCGCAGCGCGCTGTCGTATCATCTCAGTTGGTGACAAACAGGGGTGCGATTGGTGGGCTGTATTCATGACCGATCATGAAGTCGTAATGCGTGGGGGGGGGGGGGAGGGGACGAAGTCCAACAGTAGCGGACTCCATGCTTGTTTGGTTATTTCATGTGTGGATCGTGTGAGAATACTTACTCGAATCATTCAGTTTGATGCATATCGTCTTTTCTGGACGTCCTGTCGCTGTACCATACTGCTCTGTAGATGCTTTTTTGCTTAGGTAGGAGTGTTGGACGACAGTGCACAGACTGCAGAAGAACGAAGTTTTACACCAAAGAACAGAGAGGTGGACCATGATTGCTCGGGCATGCATCCATTGTAGAAATAACCTCGAGCATGACCAAGTCGTCATTCGCATTGCAATCACTTGTTACATGAGGTCTACAGCCGCATAAGCGAATAACTTAGTAGCATTTCAGTGTTTCCGGCGTTTGTGATCATGGCAACGAGCTCATATCGAACATATTTCAAATGTCGGTCACGTCACCTACTTCCTTTGTCCGCATTTACTTAATCGTTTTATCAAATCGGTTTTTGCATAAATGGATTGAGGGGCGTATGTGCGTTAAGATCCGCAGGATGGAGCCAAGCCTATACTTTCTCATGGCGGTAACAAGGCAATGCAACAAAAGCCGGACAGGATAGTCTTTCAATGTCCCTTTCGATTCTTTTGGCCCTCGTAGGCGGTCATACTAGCGCCTTCTAATTCCCAGACAGCGGACTCGAAGTTCCACCCCGGGATTAGGACAGGTCCATAAAAGACACTGGTATATGGCCCTGCCGATTCCCGCTACAGTGATATCGCTAGTTGTTTGTGGCCTATAACCAAGGCATGACCCTTTCAATACTCGCGGCGTTGGGAAGCACGCTTCCCAGTTATATTTGGCTTTGCATTACGTTGGGCCACAAGGTAGACAAACTGTTTCAGTATCCGAGGTCACTCGCGTGCGAAGCGCATTTGTATACAGCTCTTCGATAGTGCGTTAGGGCAGTCAGACCTATTGTCATCCTTTCAGCTAAACGTAACAGCCATCTAGGCAACCAGGCTGGACCCGACTACCCGGGATATTTAGCTGACAGTTAGCTGTTATTGCTTGTTAGGGACTTTGGGGCCTTTGTGAGTGTCTTCATATAAACCAGTCGGCTCAATGACTAGGAATAGGACAAGGCTCCATAATAAACTTGGTGGAATCTGACCCCTCTCAGATAAGCCGTATTGTCTGCGTCTTTTGCTCAACGAAGCTGTCGCGAATCACTACTGATTCCTGAGGTTTACTAATTTGACTATCTGGGATAACGGCGGAATGCCTCACGCGGGTTTGGAGTTAGTTTTCTCCAGACAGGAGGTAACCGCTCGTTGTTTCCCAGAAAACGGCACACCACTGTCAAATGTGTTAGGTGGGCGATCCAGAGCTTCCGAGTTTCCAGATCGTCAGTGAGTACGCTGTTGACCCTGACTGACATTTGCAAACAGTCAGGCATTCCGGACTGTGGCTTAGCCCTAGCTCGTAACACATGAGAGTTTTGAATAAACGTAATCAGATTTATCAAATATTTTCCCCTGAAACGTTTTAAGGCATCCTTTCGATGAATTAAGCGCAATAGGCGAGTTCCTCCAAGAAGAAGACTCGATCGCTGCGGCAGACATTTTATTCACATGACACCACGGATTCACACTCGTCAGAGGCAGCAACAAATAAGCGTAGCGAAAACGCAAGGTGTGCAGGCTCTAGGGATGCAGTTGTCTGTGATTAGCGGCTCCGCACTTATCACCAATGGTCGTACTTAGCGCGACGGTTTCTTGCTCGCTTGCATCCAAGTTGTTACCTGCCCCAATGACATTACCAGTGTTGATTGTTGGTGTGACAATGACCCGGCAATTTGGGCTCACTGACACCGGAAGCAGTGTTCGCCCGCGCCTTCCCCGCCAGCCTTATTAGTCTGTCTGAAGAAATCGGAGGGTTGTATATAAGGGGGGAGGTGGGGGGGGGGGGTGTCATTGCAGGCCAATGAACTATGGCTGGGGCAGCTCACCGTCCGCGCGCTTGCCACCTCTCACAGGAATGTCAGCCTCTATAAGCACTGGCTCCCTGGTGCTTTGTTCAGTAGCGACACAACGGTCTACCCGCGTGTCCCTCCTCAATCAACTGTTTTTCGACCTATTGGTCCGCGTACCAGCGCAAAAATCATGGATATTTGCATATGCCACCCCGGACCGCTATCAACGTCTCACCCAGAAGCCGAATAAAGTTGGGATGGTCACGCAGGCCCACGATCTGAACGAGAATGGTGGTGGGTAATGTGGAAAGTACTAAGCCGACCACTGTATTAGTGCCACTTAAGGTCATTTTGGAGGTGGTGTCGTGTTTCGCGCTTCTCTGACCCCTCCGTGATACCCGACTCACTTTGTTCGATTGGGG